TTTGTGTTTAGAAAAGAACAATCTTAATATCTGAACAAAATATTGAACAAAATAATTATTCATACTATAATTATTGTCTGGTTTTTAAACTTAGTATCATGGAGGAACCAATTTTGGAAGAACAGCTGGAGGACCTTTTATTACGACCAGCTACGACTATGATGCTCCAATTGATGAATATGGTTTGATGACAATAGCTGATTTCACTTGTTTTAGGCAGCGTGAGCCGAAATTTGATTAGTTTTGCTTCCAAATCTGCAGGGTTACTTAGACAACCCAAACATAAGCATCTAAAGGAGCTTCATAGGGCAATCAAGTTATGCGGGAATGCCTTAACTGATGTTGATCCAAAAATTACTCCTCTAGGAAACTATGTGCAGGTGTCTTGTCTTGTCTTGTCTTGTCTTAGTATCATTCTAATGGAGCATGACTTGTCATAAAACAAAAATCGATTTGTTTTGTTTTGTTTTTCAGGCAAACGTGTTTAGCACAAACTCAGGCCAATGTGCAGCATTTTTATCCAACTTCCACTGGGATCAAAGTGCAACAGTTAAATTCAACAACATGCCTTATCATCTGCCTCCCTGGTCGATCAGCATACTACCAGATTGCAAAAACGTTTCTTTTAATACTGCCACTGTGAGTCATCCATTATCTTTCGAGTTTTAACTGAAAAGGGTCTAACTTTTCGTCTAATTACAAAAAATTCAGTTTTTCACAATTATATAAAACAAGTATGTTCTTATGAAATTTCGCCTGCAGCTTTTAAGGGATGCTTGTAATTCTGACAGATGCTTTAAAAAAAAGTAAATTAATTGCAATTTTTTGCTGTATAAGGTAACAAATTTCGGGCTAGGATTATCTTTTCTTGAACGATACTCTAAATTCAACATAAAATACCTAAACTTTTTACCATATCCTTCGAAAAGTTTCTTTTATCTTGCAAAATGAATATTCGCTGTGTACAGGTTAAATCAAAAACATCTCAAGCACAAATGCTGCCCACGAAGGCACAAAACTTATCTTGGGAATCATTCAGTGAGGATATATCATCCTATGTTTCGGATCCAACATTCACAGTAAATGGTCTTTTGGATCAATTGAACATCACTAGAGATGCTAGTGATTACCTTTGGTACATGACCAGGTAAAAAGAATGAATAACAATAGAAGAAAA